TGCATTAGTGAGTATGAGCTATCTATACACATTTGTTTATACACTCAAGAAGTAGTTTGAGATATAGTAGAGAAGAGAATAGAGTAGGTTGTGCGATGGGGAACCCGTGAGTAATGGGTAGAGTATTCCCGCATGTACGCCGCATTGAGAGAGCGGCATGAGTATCAGATAGAGAAGTGGTGTAGCCCGTGAGAGTGCATGCGGATGAGGGCTATACCCGAGTACCCGAGAGAGAGATTATACACTCACATGGCCAAGGGTTCCGAATCCATGCATAACCGAGTCCGATCGGCTAGAATGAGTAGAGGTCACGTAGAGTGGGAGCGAGTCCCGGCCGTGCCCCCGGTAAGATGGGGCCGTGACTTACTAAAGAGAGTTACTAGAAAAGAGTTTTAAGAGAAAGAGAAAGAGAGAGAGAGAAGTACCAAAGAGAAATTGAATGAGAAGTTGTAAGGAAAGAATTAGAGAAAGAGTTACGGGGATAGATGAGTAGAGGATTTACTTACTGAGCATTGTTTTAGTGCTCACCCCGTTGTTTTCCTATGTTTTGCAGGATCCAGGTGAGGATGCAGTCGGATGGATGTCGACACGCGAGGGGAAGCGGTTACACTGTCCACCATGTTTTAATAGTTTTTGTACACATTATAAGTTTGTGTAAAAATGTATATGTTTGTAAAGAATATATGTACATATTTAATAAAAAAAAAATTTTGGGCCCAATTTCTTTATATTATTTTATATGTATTTTATTATGAGAATTTGAGTAGTAGTGGCTTTTACATGCCATGAGTGGATTGATCCCGCAGGAAGCAACCTGAACCCGCGTTTGGCATGCAGTTAGGATTACTGCTAAGTAGCAACATTTGGCCAAGTCAGAGACTTGGTGGAGTTCCATGAGGCCATTGAACTCGTAAAGGTGATCCTGCGGATCTGAATTCCCATCGAATGCCTGCATGTCGGGCATTCTGAATCACGACGGGAGATGAGCAGCTAAAACTGCTGGAGAAAAGGGAGACGCCTCTGCGACCTTCCCACGCTCATTATGCTGAGCCTTAAACTGATCCAAAGCTCGCTGTAGTTCCTAAATCTAAGGCAGCGGAGCTGCTTGGGGGATCACTTTCCGCAACATGGGTTCGACCCTCACGGTTGTGGTTGAGGAAAGACTGCACATTAGGCTTTTCCTCAACTTGGCCAGAAGCTCTGGCAAACCTTGACACACGCTGGCTCCAACTGGAGCCCTGTGAAGGCATTGAATGACTTGGGAAATTTTTCTGATCTCCGTGGTGGTCCGAATTGACTCGTAGATGACAGGGATTTCTTGCATGACGACGGTTGAGGTTGTCATTTCGGTGATATTGGGAATTCCCTGCCTTGCACTTTTGTGGGAGTGCCCGTGCGACGTGGTGTAGGATGGCTCATACTGCGACATGTCGCCGAGTCGTAGTGCCACAGGTATTCTACTTATTGTACAACTGGTGTTCGCTGGTCCCTCGGAGCCCTTTGGTCCGCTGTTTGCCATTTGCTTTCACCTACTTTTGCGCACTAGAGTGCACATGGTAAGGGCTTTTGCCCTTTTCCGTGCTTTCAGCGACCTACAGGCGTTTTTGGCGGTGGCACCGCTTCATTGGGTTTTAGTGGCACGACCCGATCCAAATGGTCCAGCCTTTGGCTAACCATCTGGAAAGTATTATTAAACCTCTCCAGGTAACTCATTACGATTGGGTCGAGCCGTGAGCTTGAAGGAATATCTGCCATGATACTCTATTAGACTGGCGACACTTCAGGAGAAGTGTCATCCTATACCTAAGGGATTTCCTCATTGTCAAAGTCGGTTCGCTTAGGTTCAAAACCACGAGCCATTTGCTGATTGGTTGGACCAATTAGTCAAAGGTTTCTGATAAAGAGCAGATACTAAATCAGACCCTCATTCTAGCGCCAAACTATGGATGCTAGATTTTGACACCAGCGACTCACACGTGCAAAGTGCTAAGCGGGCTTAGAAATTACACGTGATATGAAAACATGAAATGAGAGAATAAATGAGAAACGGTTTTTAAAGTAGTTCGAATGCTCAAAAGTGAATCCTACGTCCACTACTGTAGTATTAATAGGTGGATATAGTCAGGTTACGTGTGGCGAGCTGAGTTACAATCTAGAGAGAATACACACACATAGAGAGAGAGAGAGAGAGAGAGAGAGAGAGAATATGTATGTTGTTTTAGACTAAGATAAGCCAATCCCGTAAATGAGAGGGCAGTGCTCTATTTATAGTGGGAGAATTCAAGATAATGATTACAAGTCTGCAAGTGGGTAGGTGCCATGCAAGTCATTCCTTGCATCCCATTGGTTATTTGCACGAGAAATATCCTCAAATTACGTAGGGCTTGGGCAGGTGGATGATCCTTGGCCACTCGCAAGCCTGACGTTCACCTACTGCACTGACAAGAACCACACCTCCAGTGATGTGGTAATGTCTGGACGACACAAAACCTTTCTAAATCTTGATTGACTCTTGCTGACGAGAGTCCACGTCAGCCCTAACTTTTTAGGCATAACAACTTGTAACGTTATTCTTTCGTTTTCCAACATTTTCTCAGGAAACAAACAGAAATGGGATGAAAATTGGAGTGCATGCATACAACAAAGAAATAGAAGAAAGAAAAGAGAGCTTAGAACTTGCAGTAAAAACTTAGAAAGAGAAAAACAGAGAAACAGAGTTCTCCTTTGAAAGACAACACAGGACAGAAGAGGTATTTATATAAACTAATGATTACTTTAATTAAAACTAATTGGTTTTAACAATAAACTGTTCAATTTTGAAGGGTTCTAATAATTTTGTCACCCAATATTAGAAAAATCAATTGAATTCTATTTAATTGGATTCCATTGTTTGAAATAGAAGAGTTAAATATATTTTGGTTATAAGATTTGGCTTAAGTATTATAAGGTCAAAAGTATAAGATTTAGAATCTTATAAATTACTAAATTTAAAGTTTATGTGTATTATTTTTCACAATATACAGAAACTTTAAATTTAGTTATGGGTTGTATATATGAGTTCTTAAAGTTGGTGGCCCAAGTCGAAACTTCACTTCCACTATGGGCTGTTAAGTAAAAGCCCAAATACTCCTCCCTACTAGACTTAGCAAACGGGCGGGCTGGGCGGGTATGGGTTGAGGATATGCGGGTAACGGGCAAAATGGGTATGCGTTGACGAGTAAAATTTTGGAACGAGTAAAAATATGTATGACCCGTACTCGCCTATTAGTATTGAATTTTTGTGACGATAACTCCAAGGATAGAGCTGGTTATCTGGCGGTGGCGGTATGTGAACTTGGTAAGTAGAATATTCCGAGTTGCTGATTTCACTTTCAGAGTCAAGATCGTCTGTGGAGGCAGTGGGTCTCTTCTCAGCATTGCTTGTCTCCGTCTCTCTTCAGCCATAAAAAAGATGGAAACTTGAGAAAGTATACGAAAACTTGAGGCGGCGACGGCGTGAGAGACATTGTGAGATTCAGAGCTGCTTTACGTCATCGACGTGAGAGTGAAAGAGTTTCAGTTTCAGAGATTGTGAGATTCAGCCTGAAAGTGAGAGAGTTTCAGTTTAAAAGATTGTGATTTGTGAGATTCAGCCTGAGAGTGAGAGAGTTTCAGTTTTAGTCTTTGAGAGTGAGAGAGTTTCAGTCGTCGTCGGCATTGGCGTGTGAGAGAGAGTTTTAGTCAAAAAAATTTTGAACAACACTGTTCACTTTAGGCTTAGGGGGCGTTTGGTTGGCGGTAATCTCAGATTATTGGGGTAATGTCATCTTATATTACTTGATTACCACGTTTGGTTGTCAAGTAATATAAGATTCCGGTAATCTTCAAATACCAATAGTAGTTACTATTGGTAATATTGGAGGTAATCTGATTACCTCTATTTTCTTAGGTATTCTGAGATTACCAGGGTTATCATTTTTTGTTACAATTTTATCCCTTATTAATGAAAATTTTGGACAATAATGCCCTCATTTTAAAATAAATTTACATTAATATCCTATTTCAATTTTACCCTTATTTAACTAAAATTTTGGACAATAATGTGCTTGTACTTAAAACAATTTACAGACCACTGCCACTCAGCCACCACCACCACTACCACCACCGCCGACAGCGGCCAACCACTACGGACCGCCACCGAAAACTCGTCGGAGTCCCTAAAAAAGAACGAGTTTTGGTGGGAGGCTCCGGGAGGCATCGATATGGCCGTTTCCAGCCATATTGATGACCAGAAACGGCCATATCAGGCCATATCTGGCCATTTTCGGCCAGATCGGTGGATCTGGTCGTTAATGGCCAGATCCTTGGCCATTAGCGGCCAAATCTGGGTGAGATCTGGCCTTTAACGGCCAGGTCCGTGGCCGTTAACGGCCAGATCTCACCCAGATCTGGCCGCTAATGGCCAAGGATCTGGCCGTTAACGGCCAGATCTGGCCTGATATGGCTGTTTTCGGCCATCGAAATGGCCGAAAACGGCCATATCGAAGCCTCTTCGTCACGGTGAGGTACTCACGGGTGTTTTCAGAGATTTTCGGTGGTGGTTTGCGGTGGCGGCAGGCGGCGGCAGGAGGTGGGGGTGATTTCGTCATAAATTAAAGTTTTATATAAACGGGGGTGTTTTAGCTATATCTGAAATATTGGGGGTTAAAAGATATTATTCAAAAATTAATATTAAAAATAATCTTATATTAATATTTAAAAAGGGGACAATTTAGTAATTTAAATAACATACTTACCAATTTATTCCCCATAACCAAACATATTCATATAACATATCCCCAACTAACCAAACACATTTTTTTAAAGATTTCCAATAATCTTCTAAGGTAATCTATCTTCCCAGTAATCTAATATTCCTGAACCAAACGCCCCTTTAGGGTTTTGTTTTCGCAATTTTTTTAATTTACATTTTTTTTTATTAAAATGCGAGTACGCAGGGGCATTACCCTGCCCATCCGCTTTTTTCACCGGCGGGCCGAGTACGGATAATTTATACTATTACTCTTACCCGCCCGTTTAGACCTGGTACTCGTGAACCTACGGGTATCGGTACCACTTTGCCAGTTCTACTCCCTGCCACTAACTCAAAAATCCCCAATTCCCTATATATTTATTCAAACCCTAACCACCGCCACCAAATGCCAATCTCAACGCGCTACTCAAATGGCGTCCAAAACCTTCTTCTTCTGAAACGGTTACGAAAACCAAAATCTCATCTCTGTTCACAAATTCATGTAAAGTGACAACTACTGCACAAAAAGATTCAGTACATAGCGTTGAAGAGGAAGAGAGGCTTGATCAATTCCTTCAAAAAGATTGTAAACAAGGTAATATCACTCTTGATGAAGCAGGCTATTTCTTTTGTTTAATGATTCATATGCAACCCCAAACCACCAATTTCATCATTCAATTGGTTGTTTGGAGCTCTTGCTCAGAAGAAGTTTTATGATTTAATTACTTTGAATATTTTGATTAATTGCTTTTGTAAATTGGGAGGATTTTGAGGTGGGATTTTGACCCAAAACTTTTGTAATATGTCGCACAGGTAACACGAGTGTTGCGATTAGATTGCAGGAAGAAATGGTTGCTGGTAATGGTGAAGGGGGTGTTATTTGTGAGCCTAGTATTTTTAGTATTATTGATGGTCGAAAGAATTGTTTGTGGAAATGAAGGATAAGGGAAAAACATTTGGCTTAATTCCATTATTCTTCATTTCCAAAAACAATTCTTTCTTATCTATTAATCCCTCCTTACTAAGACCAAGGACAATACTACCATAAAAATCAATACTAGGCTTACAAATAACACCCCTTTCACCATTGTTGTGGGAGATTTGGAGGAGGCTAACGTGATCGAATCTAGCCGAGCAGTTGATGTGTGGTTTTGTATTTGATTTTAATTGATTTCATGTGTGGTTTTGTATTTGATTTTAATTGATTTCATGTGTGGTTTTGTATTTGATTTTAATTTATTTGATGTGTGGTTTTGTAGCTGTGATTAGGTTTTAGGTGTTCAGTTTTGTTTGTACTAAAGAAAATTTATATCAATGATGATAAATGCATAATCCCAGCTCTATGAGGCCTTTGTTATTCAAAGTTCAGGGAATAGACTGTTTCCAACATTTATCTGAGCTACATAAAACTTTTTTATTTGTACCAGTTTAATGAGCTGTTTGTTTTTGTGATTATTTGATGTGTTTCTGTGTCTGTGTATTCTTTATTTTGTGTTTGTTTATCTGGGTTTGTTTCATATTTGTTTCCTGAGACGGATCAAAATAATCATGCTAGTGTATATCTGATTGTTTTATGACTGAAAGATTTACTTTTTCCTGAGGGAACTTGAATGATTTGAGTGTTCCTTCATGGGTTTATTTGAAATCTTGAAAAAGTTGTTCTTGTTTGCTCACAATTGAGCTTGTTTCTTAGTTTTGTTTATTTTGTGCTATAGGTATACTGTCGGACAATGTGAAGAGAATCTGAAAAAATTGAATGTAGGTTGTTACATGATTTTGTTCGTGATTGAGTGTGAAAAGAATTGATATTTCTATTTCTTGTGAAGATTTATGTGCTTATGTTGTTGAATTTTTGCATAATCTCCACTGAAGGACTGTTCCCAGAGATGTTTCATTACTGACCATGCTAATTCTGATAATTAGATGACTGAATTCTTCTTTTGTTATGTTCTGAGGGAACTATTCTTCTCTTATGTGATTACATTTTGTTCTTTTTTGAGTTTTGTTTAATATCAAGTAAGACAACATTTTGTAATGGAGGTGTTATTATTGATTAAATTTGTTGCATAGTTGTGGCAAGCACTCTGACACTTAGTTGTGGATATTCCTGCATTCACGTATACAATTTATGGTATGTTTACAAAATCTTAATTTTAGTACTCAACTAAGTTTACTAGTTTATGACATTGTGATTGAATTTCTAATTATGAATGTTTAGTATATGTTGATTGCTTAGTACTTAGTGATTTCTTTAAGCTGTTTAATAAATGACTTTTGTGTAATGATGCAAACCTGTCTTAAAATACTTATAATTTTATGGGGATTTCTAAAGAATTCCAATACTTGACTGGGGCAAGCCATTTATGTTTGTAGATTCCTAAATAACCGTCATAAATAAATGCCCTAGATGTTGATGGTCCTCCTTAATAGGAGCTCCTCCATCTGTAGGGAGATCTCATATTCCATTGCCTTGTGGAGTGGCATTGCTGCTTTTACCATTTGGGACAAGCCATGAGACATACATTTGTTATATCATCATAGAAGAATAGATTTTACATATTCTTTAATGCATTATTTAATGTTCTAGTTATGTAATATCTGTTATATGTTTAGTTGTGATAATGATTTCTATTTTGTATTTTTGCGACGGGGGATTACTCAAATCCTTTACTTTATTGGGCTAACCAGCCATGTTTGTACATTCCAAAGTAAACGTCACAGATAAATGTCCATTGACGTTGATGGTCCTCCCTCTGGGGAGTTCCTCTGTTGATGGGCGGTCTCATATTCCATCGCCTTCTGGAGCAGCATTGTTGCCTTTACCATTTGGGAATGGCCATGAAACAAATATTTTCTCTGCATGTTTCTATTTTTCTTCTTTGTGTGTAGAAGAAATGTGGCCAAGGAGGAAATCATTCTTAAAATACACCATCTTTCGGGACTGAATGGCTTGTTTAGCCTTGGTGACATTCTGGAATTCTGAGGCCGTATGTTTGTTTTGCTTTGCTTGTGTTAGTTTATGCCTTTCATATAGGACTGGTAGTAAAATTAAGTATTTTCCTTTTTTCCTGTTTTAATCTTTTGGTGTTGAGAAATGTGGCTCGGAGGATATCATTCACAAAATACCGTCTTTTGGGACTGAGTGGCTTGTTAAGCCTTTCTGACATTCTGCAATTCTGAGGCCCTAATGTTACTTATTTGATTTTCCTGTTAAAAGGGCTTTCAAAACCTGCATTGGATTTTGCTTTTTATGCTTTTAATTTTTTGATGCATTTTAATAAATCTCATGCAATTGACCTTGACCACTGAAATCTCTGGCAAATAACGCCAAGAACTCTCAGCAATATCTCGGAAGTTGAAACAACCATCAGAATAGGTGTGGATCTTGTCTCGGCCACCAGGCGAAATATCAGGTTCTTGAGGACTGTCAACGAGTCCCAGTGGCTTCATGAGAGCGCAACTGTTGTTGAAGCCATTTAGAGGATGACAGACATTTGAACTTTTTATTATAATTTTAATTAGAGTTAATGGTTGCCGAACTTTTGATCACTTTTATTCTATTTAGCGTTTATATTGGTAATTAAGAATTAATTAGAGCTTTAAGTATCTTGGTTTATTCTTTGTTGATATTAATTAAGAGTTAATTAGAGCTTTTAAGAGTTTTAAGTATGTTGGTTTGTTCTTTGTTGATATAGAAGCTCTCTCAGGATACCGGATTGATTAGCATTAATATTCAACTTCATACGAAATCAAAGCCTTCATAGAAGCTCATTTGATTTTAAGCTTACAGTAACAAATGCATGGTTTAGTAATTAAGAAAACAGGGGGCAATGTCATTGCCACTTGTCCTTTGTTTTTCTTGTTATTTCCTCAGCAACCAAACACAATCTTGCACTCATTTAATGATATAGAAGTTACCAATATTATCTTTCGGGTCAGTTACAGACAATACTGAGTCAAGGTTCTCAAAACTCATTGGAAAACCAGCGACTTTCTATGAACGAAACGAAGAGTATGCCTTGATGAGATGCAAAGAAATTTGGACCAACAGATTCCCAGCTGAGCCTGTTGAGAATATCAAAACAGGTCAGTTTAGTTTATGGTTTTTAATATATGGCTTATTTGGACCTTAGTAATTGTATTAATAACAGTTTCGACTACTTATCTGGTATGAGTATCATCAGCCACCATGTATTTTAAACTTTGCCCTCCGTGCTTTTCTCTGAATTTGTATTTTCCAGAGATTCAACATCTATGTGTATTGAATCTAAATTGTGACTATGACAATGATGTTATTTTTTTCCCAACTTTTTGTTCTACCGTTTTTTCAAATTTCTTGTTTTTATCTGTGATTACTGCAGGTTAGCTGCTTAAAAAGATTTAAAATTACATTCCCAAATTTCATTTGGTTTCTATTGAGTAAAATGCATTGTGATTTGAATTAAATTCCCAAATTTCATTTGGTTTAAATTGACAGAATTAATGTAATATAATATAAATACCAGCTTTGTTTGCAGCACATAGAGGGACAAAGCTGGTATTTCCATTATATTAGGGTCAAATTTGTAATTTTAATTTTTATACATTGTTGGGGATATGACGGTAATTTCATAATTAAAAACAGTGGCATATAGGTAATTGAATCCATTGATTTGACAAATGATAATAAAAAAAAATTAAATTCTGTCATGTGTATTTTTGTTTTTACAGTGAATATCACTGTTTTAAATGGAAACTATTAACGAAACGTAATATTTAAATAGTATTTTAAAAGTCTGAAGGTAGAAAAGTGTTATTAAACCATTTTTTGGATGGGAAAAAGTTTTAACTCTTTTTATAACTTTGTTAGATTGTCCTCATTATTTTTAAACCTGACTCATTAAGGGACCTAGTAAGGCCATCAGGTCTTGAGTTGACAGTCCTACCAGTTAAATTGGTGGTTTTCAGTGATCTAAAAAGTTTAAAATCTTGCAAACACACTTATAAAAATACGAATCAATCCCTACAGGTTTCAAATTTAGCAAATACACTCCTACAATCTGCTTGGGTTTTACTTTTCTGGCCAAATTCCAGTGACAAAAATTTAATCTGACACCACCACTTGAACCATCGTCCCTTATTCTACAAAAACCTTCAAACCTCGAAACTTGATAGCCCCCCGTTCGCTAGCTGTGACTCGTGTATACTGCTACGATTGGGTTGATTTTTTTAGCCAAATTTCGGTTGATTTCGGCATTCAAAATTCAATCAAATACCACAACTAAACCACCGGCCACCCCTCTACAAAACCTCCTTAACCCCGACACTTGGTAACCCCCTGTTCGTCGGCTGTGACTCGCATATTAGGTTGAATTTTTCAGCCAAATTCTGGCTTATTTCGGCATCCAAAATTCAATTCGACACCACTTCTTGAACTATCAACCTCCACTCTACAAAAGCCCTCTAATCCCGACACTTGGTAGTATCTCGTTTGTCGACAATCAAATTAGAGATTTGGGGAATAGTGAAAAATGGTAATCTGGATCGAAGAGGCTATCAGGTCCTTGTTAGACTAGTCCGGTCTAGTTTTTAAAACAGTGGTTTTACTACCATAGCTGACGAAAACTTTTAATTTAGCTATGGGTTGTATATAACTATATATGAGTTCTTAAAGTTGGTGGCCGAAATACAAACCATATATTTAATGTTATCACTTATAATACTTTTAAAATTACAAGGTCCAAACATTATTTGACTTAAATTTTGTTTTCCTTTAAATAAAATAAAATAATTTATTAGTCTTTGTCCACAATTATTATTAGATAAGATTTTTGTTATTGAGAAAAGCGGAAAAAGAAAATTAGTGAATGAAAGAAAGTTGTGTATACAGTTGAAGCCAGGTCGATTTTGTCAAACCTAATTTTTATAGGTAATATTATACTTACAATGGAATCTCATAAACTTTCTCTCATAATCCTGATATGACAATTTGTAATTGGTTTTTGATGAATTTTTCCATTAGATTAATTATGAGTTGATAGATTATGAATTGTCACATTTGGCTTATGAGAGAGAGTATAAGATTGGATTGTGAGCCAATCTTTATTGAATTTCCATAACGTAAACCACACAAAATCGAGAAAAAAAAAATCTAATTTAAGGTTCGAAGGAGTTTCCCATAGACCCCACTTGGATCCACTCAGATTAAACTCAATATCACCTTGCTCTTTCACCGCCTGGGGTGGATCTTGCTCTTGAGTATTTTGTGGTGTTTCTTGATCTTTTGCTTCAGGAGGTTGCTCTTCTTGTGGTGGTGGTGGTGCTGACGAGTCAGGTTGAGGTTTCTTTTCTCCTTCAGGCACCGTATTTCTGGAGCTGGTGGTTGTGGTGCAGCTTCAGTTTCAGCTTTGGCACCTTCAAACTGTTCTTCAGTGGGTTTCTCATCAGTCGGCGGTGACGATTCAATGCTTGACAGAGCTTCAGCCTTTTCATCAGGCTTCGCCTCTTCAGGAACAGGTGGATCTTTTTCCGGCGGAGCAACGGGCGGCGCTGGAACAACATCAACATAATAAATCTTCAACCCAATTTCACCTTGTATCCAACTCAGCAAACTCATTTTCTCAAGAGGATAATAAATCAAAGCTTCTTTTCCTTTCTTAACAAATTTATTCAACCGAAGCCTCCCAAGAAAATTGTTTCTCCTCACGGGGCCATAACTTTTATCGTGGTAGACGTCGAGTTCAAGCATGTCACTGAAAGCTTCTGATGGCTGCTCCACGTTGAATTCAAGAACCTCGTTCCATGAGGGGTTCAATTCACGAATGACAGTACGGGTTTTTCTTCGTTGGCCATAGTAGTCGATCACAATGTAAGGACTTGAAGAGCCGTGTTCATCTTTTGGCATCAGATCACGTGCATCCACGACTTCTACAGTTAGTTTGCCAGATGAAGCCATTTGATGAATTAGGGTTTTCAGAAGAAGAGATGGAGAGATATGTTGATTGGTGTTGATGCGTGATTTTGACACCAACAACTCACACATGCAAAGTGCTCAGCTGTTCTTAGAAATTACATGTGAATGATTGGGATAATCGAATGCAAAAACTAAATAACAAATGAGTAATGGTTTTTAAAGTGGTTCAGATGCTTAAAGTGAATCATACATCCACTATTCTTTTATATATGAGAGATTACAAGAGGCTCCATATAGCAAACAGTGAGCAAAGGTACAATAATTGATTATTCAGATAGAATGTCAAGTCAGTCTCTTTCTCGCAGGTTATCTTTGCTCTGAAAGTTAAAGATTACAATCAGAATGTGAATTCAGTATCAGAATCCCCAAAATGAGAAGGGGAGTCCTCTATTTATAGTAGAGAAATTTAAGGTAAAGATTACAAATCTGCAAGTGGGTAGGTGCCGTGCAAGTCCTTCCTTGCGTCCCATTGGCAGATAATTTAAGAAATATCCTCAAATTACCCGGGGCTTGGATAGGTGTGTGGCTCTCATTCACTCATAGACAAAACCTGAATTTGCCAAGTTGGTGACAGCCATATTCTTCCTATCTTGGGGCAACGTGGCAACTCCTGGATGACCAAAGCCTTCCTGAACTCTGATTGGTGCTTACTGATGTAAGCTTACGTCAGCCCTGATTTTTTAACTATAACAGAACCTCCCCAGTTCTTAAGGTTCAAGAATTGAATCTTGAGAACTTCATGATCATGCCGTGACCTGACTTGTTACGATAAGTATTTGCCTGAACTAACAGTTGAGGACAGCCATATTGTTACAAACAATATGAGGTTGTTGGCTTAACTCGACTAGCAAACTGAGTAAAGGTTGCGACATGAATCTTCAAGAGTTGCACAAGTGACCTAAGGTGATCGGTCGAAAGGTTCAGCGACCCATGTCGGATTTTGCTCAGTGCTATAACGACGTGTTTTGAACTATATCTGTCTTTCGCGACCTGAAAATACTTAGGACAATTTGCTGTCGAAAGTTGAGAATCACTTTGCTTCGAGTTTGACACGTGGAGAAGAGTGTTTTATTCGAACGACCTCTTCAGATGTTATTCGTTGTGCTTGATAGTTGTTTTGGTCAATAAAATAAGCTTTATCTAACAGACATGTCTCTGCACAATAAATGTCAGCCATGAGCATTAAATGCAAGTCATGCTGAAACGACATTCTCTTTTGAAGCATTAAATGTGGATGAGGGCACATTTAATGTGGAGGAGATAATCACGCCAACGTTTGGCGATTTCAATGAAAGGAAACGCCGGTTGATCTCCACAAAGCGTGAGGGTTACTCTTCGCGCAGATCGATGACACGTGATCATGATCAATGGTTGTTAACACGTCCTGCCCAAACGTCGCTTATGAAAGAAACCAAGTGTCATCTTTTTCCCTATAAAACCCTAAGCCCATTTCAAGTTTTTCATAGAACTTAAACTTTCAGAGAGAAAAATAGCATTTTTACACTAAAGAGATTAGTTCATCCTCTTCTCGGTTGATGTGCACTCGTCGCTATGACAGAACATCCATTCCCATCAATCAAGAGGTAAAGAAAATTCTTCTATTTTTCTCTTTTTCATTCATGTTAGAAAACTTAGTTTTTATAGTAATAGTGGGTGTAAAAGCCTAGTAGGCTCAGACAGTGAACATTTCTGGCTAGTGTTTAAAAAGAAACATTCTTAAAAGTTGAAACCTAGGGCGTAGATCTTTAGAAAATCACCCTTAAGAATTTTTAGGGTTTTTAGGGTTTTGGCGGCTATGGAAGAGAAACCAGGGTTTCTTTTACTCTTTTGAGTCGTCGTACGGGGTAATGTAAACGGAGACTGAGTCACCTCTACATGTCGTATATTTTTAGACTCTAAGAGCGATGGACATCCATGAGACGATAACAGCTAAAGAAGGAAGCTCCCAACCACCGGGCAACTCAGCAGGTCCCAGGCAGGTGATACGAATAACAGTTACAAAGGATGAGATACAAAAAGTGATAGAACAATACGTGATCAACTTAAATGTCTTCCAACATGGGTCACACACTACTCAGGATCCTCTTAAGGGAACGGTTGCGATCTCAGAAGCAATCTTCAAATGCAGAGTGAGGATACCCCTTCACCCCTACATCAGGTCAATCTTTGATCACTTTCAGGTCGCGCCATTCTAGTTGACGCCAAATGCTTATATGATAGCGGTCGCTATGTATATACCGTTTGGCGAACACAACCTCGACGAGCCAATAATAGTAGAACTCGATTGCACCTATTAACTAAAGAAGAGTAAAGACAAGGAT